ACCCGGGCGGCTCCTGCTCACCTTGCCTGACACAGGCTCCCGTGTCCCTAGAAAACACATTTCCCCATCCACCTGTTAACTCTCTGAGACGCAAAACCCTGCAGGCAGTTCTGACTGCTGCTTGTTCTTGGTTGCTAACAACCGGTCTGGTCAGTTGTTCCTCAAAAATGTCCACTTCGACCTGCTCAGCCAGCCCGGAGCCGGCTGCCAGCTTCTCTCTTATTGCTCCTCTACAGGAACCTCGTGCCCTGGCCACACAGGTGTTTGACAATGTCTGGAACATGCCCAGGGCACCTACAAAGCCAGTCTTCCCACATGCATCACCCAACACGACGCTCAGCTATTTCAAATCTACCCCCCCAGAGGACGGGCTCCCGTCCCCCACCTCTAGAAGGCAGTGGGCCCCGCACCCAAGAAGTGAAGGGGCGGTGTTGCTGGCACTGTCACGATTATTGCTATTACTATTTCCTGTCCATTTTGGCTGGGAAAAACCTTCTTCCTCTGACATCTTTAAGTATCAAAGAGTGATAGTCAATCATCAGTTAATCCGTGTTAACCTCATGCCATCATCACGGGAATGTTCTCAGGTAGTTACATGCCAGGGTCTGAATTCACATCTGTTACTGACTAGTGTGTGACCTGCGGTCACTTACTCTCCGGGCCTTAGTTTCCTCATTTGTAAACTGAAAATAATCTCATCTACCTCATACCAGTACAGGAGCCAGTACAAGAAAACCCTGAAAACAGTGTTTGAAATATAACAGACACTTACTAGATATTACTAGAAATTACTCCAAATACATCCACCCTAATTCCAGACTACATAAAAGGATTTTGAAAAAAGGACTTGGAGTATTTAGGCAAAGACTGACCATATGAGCCAATCAACACAATTTTACAAGTGGCATCTCCTTACTGTGGAAAATTAATCTAGAAAACAAACACAAAACAAAACAAGTCTCCTGTTCTTAATGGAGACATTTCAAAACTATTATTTTACCAGATGTTACGAATAAAGAAGTTAATGGGTGACATACATGTTGAAGAAAGCAGGATCCTATTTCACTTAAATGAGGTTCCTCTTTATTGTACTGTTTCTCAAGGTCTTTCAAGAACTTTCTTTGGAATTTGTAAATATCTTCAATGTTTCCAAAAATAGTGGCTAGTTGCGCAACAGTGAACATTCCCGTGTGCTTGCGACACTGTCGAATATAGCCCTGCAACATACAAAAGCAAGCTTTTTAATTTATTCAGAAATTCAAAGATATTATTTTTTCAAATAATGTAGTCTTTTGGGCCCAAAGCCATGGTGCTGGAGTGGATTTTAATTACAGAAAATTATTTTAACCTCTATGGGTTGGTCCCTGGTGAGATAATCATACTTCCACGACGACAATTTGCCATAAATATGTTAAAAACAAAAGGAAAGCAAGGACTTCTGGTCAAGATGGCAGAATAGATGGTCCCCAGTGTCACTGTCTCCCACATCAACCAATTTACAACTATTAAAAAGCAACGACTGCCACACTGGGGCTGCTAGAGCTCAGGGGAAGAGGAGGAGAGACCTATGGAGTTCATGAAGGTGGGAGAAGCCGCAACGAGAGAAAGAAAAGATCACTCCCGCCATTTCGAGCTCCGGCCTTTCCAAGGCCCTGGTGAGCACACGGAGCAAGAGCTGGCAAAAACCTCAGCTGTGCCTTTTGTGGAAGTTGCTTGGAGACTGCAGGGGAGAGGAGGGCCTTGGTGGACCCCAGGCCAGCAGGACCACTAACAGGGTTCCTGTGGACCCACAAGAGTACGGAGTCACAGACTACTGAAAAAAGGAGCCACTCAAAGGCTGGTGAGTCATCGCAAGGGACTGGCGCACAGCCCATCCCATGGGAAGTGCCTGGAATGTATGGGGTGAGGGACACATGACCACCAGGGAACACTGGGACACAGCAAGGACAGCTGATCTGCCCCCCAATCAGCACAGGACCACTCAGTGGAGACTGGTCAGGAATGCAGAACTGCAGGGGGTGCAGTTTGCTGAAAAGACAAGTCCAGACCAGAGTTTCAACACAACCCACGTGTACTGGACCTCACAAGACCTGGAGGTGCTTACAACATTAACCATCAAAACCTGCGCTGCACAAAAAGCCTTCCCTAGGGAATCAGCAGCAAAGCAGCAATTTAGCTCAACTACAGGGCTCAAGTGCTGGTTCCCCCAGGAAGTTCCCCCATTTTAGAAGTAAGCAAAGGACAACAAATTAGTTCCAGTGCAAAGTTTAAGGGGTGGGAAGAGCAAATAGTCCAACATAGAACTGAAAGAAAAAACAAAGTATCCACACATCAGAGACAAAGTTTGATATTAACCAGTAAAGGTCTAACACCACCAAAGAATACCTATAAAACCTAGAAGGAATGGAAGTCCCCCGGGCTCCCAAGCTGGGATGCGGAGAGGGCAGAAAGCCTCAGCCACGCCCCCCCAACTTCTGCATCCAGCCCAGCAATGACTGAGCCTTTGCTGGAAATCCCCCAGGCTCCTGAGCTGGGATGGTAAGGGATGGGGGGGGGGGGGAGTCGAGGACCTCAGCAATGCATCCCCTACATCTGCATACAGCCCACCGATGACATCCGAGCCACCACTGGAAGCATCCAGGCTCTGGAGCTAGGGAGGGGGGGGGGGGGCCAAGGGCCTTAGCCAACACTCCCAATGTCCACCTCCAGCTCAGCCATGACCAACAGGCTGCCACCGGAAGGACCTTGGGCTCCTGAGCTGGGGTGCGGTGGGGAAGGGCCAAGGGCCTCAGCCACGTCCCTGACATCCACATCCAGCCCAACCATGACCAAGCTGCTGCCGGAAGGCCCCTGGGCTCCCCTGCCAGAATGAGGGGGGTGCATGGGTCTCTACCATGCCCTCCTCCCCCATTCCTCGTCCTCCCACCCTATCCCCTTCCACCTTCCTCTCTCCCCCTCCACCCCAACTGCTCCACATCTTTGAATGGAAAAATAATAACAACAATAAATTAATTTTTTAAAAAAAGGAAAGGAAAAAGGTTCATGTGGTTGGATCATATAAAGTTTCCAGAAACGAGTTTCAAATACCAGAGTTTCAAATACCAGAGCACAAAAATTGGTATCATCACACTTTTTCTAAGCTCTTAAGATAATCATCCTCCCATCCCTAATTCCATTTCACAGCTGAGAAGACCTGTCAAATACAGAATGTCACTGCTTGCTCAACAGCAAATGCAGTTCTGCTCACTGTCAATCACGGCACAGAGCTGAGAACATCTCACCCGAGGATTCCACCACACCTGCTTTCTATAGACAGCATACATCTGCAGACCTTCATCAGTGCAGGCCTGCACTGATGCTCTATGTACAGCACCACGGTTACACTGTGGCTTGGGTAGGAGTCAGTGTGACAGGAAGAGAAGGCCATACGTATATGTGATAGTTACCTCCAAAGTAGCATCACGGAATTAAACAGACCAAACTGACCATATGGTAAAATACATACCTCTGACTATTTGGTACGAATTTTAACAGAAATTTAACAGAATACAGGCTCTGGGGCAGACTGGTTTAAGTCGCAACCCCACCACCTAGCTTTTCCGTGTCTCAATTTCCTCATCTGCAACAGAGGGGTAACAGGACCCGCCTAGTGAGAACACTGTATTAGGTGAGTTAATCCAGGTGCAGGGATGGCACACAGTCAGTGTTCAACAATTACTGGCACTTACTCTTAGTTTCCTAAAATGACACTATAAAGACACTTCCTTAACCATACATTTATGGAGAATAAGAGGGTTGACACAAATAAGCTAAACTCTGGTAGGTCTATATGGCCGGATAATCCAATTACAGAACGCGCGGCTCAGACTTCAGCTCGTCTTCATCACTGAACGGTCATAGTTGAATCGACAGTGCAGACATCAGCATTCACAGCTAGGACAGCTGGAATGATCGGACAGGGAGAACAATGGTTTAATGTGATGCTTATACAAAATCCACAGAAATGAAAAATATCAGGAGAGGAAAAATCCCTTTCAGATTCACGCCTACTAACGGCCAATTCTCTGAAATCAGGACGAGACTATAAAACTAAATTTACTGTTGAGCAGAATATCATGACACTAGAATGCAGCCTTGGATATCACCAGATAAAACCAATTTTGGGGGGATCTGTATCTAAGCGACTCAGAATCTCACGTGTATGTCACTGATTAGGTGCCGTGACCTTTGATTCTTTGAAAGTCGAGTGGGTTTCACTTAAAGAAGAATCTTAGGAGGTAAGTCCTGGAACAGACAGCTGCAGAGGGCTGGCTGCCACAGCAGGAGGACGGCCACAGCCCCTCACACTCAGCAAGGCAGACGGCAGGTCCTTCGTGAGCACGTGTGGGGCCACGGGCAGGGGCGGAGAGGAGAAGTGCGGGGCATGGAAGAGGATGCACAGGGGAGGGCCTGGCTGGGGAGGGAGGTGGAGGAAGAAGGCCACATGGGCGCATGCCGCAGCCGTGTGCTGTGAACCCTCAGTGAGTCCCAGCGTCTGGGGTCTTACCTCACAGATGTCCTTGAGGTGCTTGATGTATACCCGCTCGGTGTTCATGATCTCCTGGATGACGTTTGTCCTCATCTGGTGCTTGTTCTCACAGTGTCTCTGGCGTGTTTTGCTGCCATCCTCCTCCTGCTCCTCGCTGTGGGTGCTGCTGGAATTTTCTGACGGCTCCTCTTGATTGACTCGCAGCTGTAGTCCACACACAGGTGACAGGTGACTTGGGGAGGGGGAGGCAGCACCAGAACCAAGGCAGAAGGCCTCCCTGGTTCCCCTTTCTCCATGACCAGTTATGAAGGCAGCGTGACCCTAGCCTAATTCTTTATGTACTCAGCAGAACTATGGCTATGCTGGCAGGCTCAAGAAACACAGCAGCAATGCCAGATGACTTGTTTACTTTCATTAAGATTTTTACTTTGACCCAGTCTAATTTCTTACTGGTCTGACTTGCAGGGCAGACTAAAAACAATTACAAATAAACTGAATCTGTATAGGGTGAGATCTGGCCTGAAACGATTCTGCCTCTCCGCCACAGGTCCTTTTGAAAAGCACACTTACTCTGACAAAGCTTGCGGGAAACCAGGCTTCCTTATCTTCATTTCGGCCCCACCACCAGTCCTTGTTAGAGGCTTCCAGAACCTGGATGACATCGCCGGCCTTGAAGCCCAGTTCCTGCTCATCCATGGTCACATGGTCCCAC